GGGGGGGTGCGGGAGGAGAGCCCAGGCACAGGCTCAGACAGGCACACCTGGGCCTCCCCTCCACCAGGGTGGGCATCTGGCTCCTGACCCAGAGGAGGAGCGAGTGGGCACTGCAGCATGAGGCGGGGGCTGGGCTGGGGCTGCAGTCACAGGCACTAGAGGTCAGGGTGGGAGACAGGGGCCTGAGCTGTGCTCTAGGAAAGTTCTCAGAGGGGAAGACACTTGAGTGGCTCTGAAGGTGGAGCCCCCGGTGGTTAGAATAAACTCCTAACAGTAGCCGCTTCTCAGGCTGTCTGTGGGTTACTGTTACCACATCCTCTGAGGTAGCTGTTACCATAAACTGTCTTGCCATCCTCATCCCGGCCCCCCCTCCTGCCCCCCAACATCTGTAGGAGAGGATACTGACACAGGAGGAGTACCAAGTACTTGGACCGGCCCCTTAAGCTCCAGGAGCAACTGCTCTGCCGGGCGAGGGCCCTGTCCATCCACCTGGGTGCTGCCTGAGCCCGCCTGCCCTCTAGCTGGTGCCTGGTCTGGATGAGGTGGGAGGTGGGAGATGGGAGGTGGGCCGGGGTGTGGCCCCAGGGTTAGGAGCAGCAGTTCAGCCCACTGTTCCTGCCCCCTCGCCCTGCTGAGAAGCCCTGGGGGGCTAGTGGTTGCCATTTGGGCTGCCCCCCATAAGGTCTGCCTTCAGAACCCCCCAGCAGCTCCTTGGGAGAAAGACAGAGTGGGTGGGGGAGGCGCGGAGCTTTCGATTCCTGCCATTACTGTCCCGCAACCCCCTGGGAGTGGTCTAGCCTGCCTGCAGGGTCACTCTGAGTGGGCCTCTCACTGGCAGGGAGCTTGGTGTTTTGAGTTCCTGTCCCCAGGCCTCGGGCTCACTTGCCAGGGTGCACAGTGCTGGCCTCACCACACTGGGCCCCTGCTGGTGGACTTAGCAGACTTATTACCTGGCAAGAGCTGGACTCACTCAAAGAACTGCTTGTGAAGAGGCTGTGAGGGAGCCCCGGAGCCCTCCTCCCCCCACTCACAGGGGTGACCCCAGCCCCACACGGGGAGTGGGGCATGTGGGCAGGGCAGCTAGTGTGGAGGCCTGGGGTCAGCTCTACTGTGGGGTCGGGAAGGGGGCTGTGACGTGGCCAGCTCACAGAACGGGGAGGGGGCGGAAGGGGAGATGTGACGGGCTGGGACCATGATGGGGGGGGGGGGCGGCCAGGCTTCCATATGCTTTATTGCAGGGGGGGTGGCAGCGGGGGACCGGGTCTCTCATGCACCCCTCCGAGGCTTTTCGCCGTTCAGAGTAGGTGGTCAAAGTGCCTTGTGTGTGCATGGGCACGGACAACTACATTTTGTGTCTGCTGTTTGTGTGCCAACGTGTTCTGCTGCGCCGACTCCCCCGGTTGTTGGTGTGGGCGGGGCTCGGTCTTAGGAGAACTTGTGGGGGGAGGCAGCACCTTGGAGGGGGCGGGTAGGCAGACTTCCTGTGTGAAGGGCTGGTGGGAGCTGCTTGGGTGGGGAAACTAGTTCAGCCCACTGGAGGTGGGGAGACCCCGAGGAGCGCCTCAGCTGCAAGCACTCCTGGGCACAAGGGAGGGGCTGGTGGCAACAATGTTTTGGGGGCTCAGCCTGAGCCAGGGGGTGACCTTTCTCAGCTCAGCTCAGCTCAGCTGCAGCGGCGCACAGCTCAGCCGGGCCTTACCTGTCGGTGCTGGAACCTGAGCACCTAAAATGGCAGTGAGGCCTCTACACACACACGCACGCACGCACACACCCCACACCCCTTGTGCCTTTGAGCAAGGACCTCCACGTTCTTCTCTGTGAAAGGAATATGCAGCCAGCCTGCCCCCACCCACATAAGGAATGAGGAGGTCCCCTTGGGCCCAGGTGGTGATGCCCAGGAAGGCCAGAGGCACTGACCCGGGCAGACCAGACTTGGCCCGCCTCAGTCAGACCCCCTCAGGACTCCACTCCTTAGCAGCCCCTCCTTTCCGTGAAAGCCCTTCTCCCGGGCTCGCCTTCACCGGCAATCACAGGCAGAGGGCTTCCCAACGGCCCCACCCACGCCAGGGCCAGTCAGTCAGTCTAGGACAGGGGTCCTCAAACTTTTTAAACAGGGGGCCAGTTCACTGTCCCTCAGACCGTTGGAGGGCCGGACTATAGTTTTAAAAAAACTATGAACAAATTCCTATGCACACTACACATATCTTATTTTGAAGTAAAAAACAAAACAGGGCAAAAACACCCGGCGGGCCAGATAAATGTCCTTGGCGGGGCCGTAGTTTGAGAACCCCGGGTCTAGGGGCTTCACAGAGGTGGGTGGGAGGCTCTGGGGCCTCCCTCCCACTTCTAAATGGCCGTTGCTTGACCAAGCTCTCCCATCCTGACTGATGGCCCTGCCATCCTGACTGATGGCCCTGCGGGTGGTGCCCGGTGACAGCTGTCTCCCCACTTCCTGGGGAGCAGAGGCTGTATCTGACTCGCCTTGGCACCCATACCTGGGGCAGGGAAGAGGTCCCACGTGTGTTCCCGGGACCGAGAGCCATCCCTTGAATCTGGAGAGAATGCTGAGGGGCTGGAGCCCACCTGGGCTCACGGAGCCAGTGGGTAGAGCAGGGCCCTGCCTGCAGCAGCACAGCTGGGATCTCGAGGCTGCCTGCACGGTGCACACGCTCACCTGTGTGTGGGTGTGTCTGCAGGCCGCAGTGGGCTGTGCTGTGCACGCAGCCAGCCAGGTGGCTCTGATAGGTGCCCTGTGTGTGTGCATCTGTGGGCCTGCAAGTGTACACGTGTGGCCATGGAGCATGGTGATCAGGATTGGTGTGTGGCTCCGTGTGACCCTCCTTGGGGCCAGCCCCTCCCCAGAGTTGACTGGAGGTGACACTGTGACAGTCATGGGAGCTCCTGGGCCCCTCCAGTCACCCTCCTAGCTGACCTGTGCCAGGGTGAGGGAGATTCATGAAGCCCTCCACCCAGGCTGGCCAAAGCCCCTGCCCTCCCCACAGTATCCACCAGCCGCAGCACTGAGGGCATGCCTCAGAGCAGTGCTGCCCGGCTGTGGGCGGGCTGGCCTGCCTTGGGCAAGCGGCCTAGCTGGACGACTCTGGCTGCGGCAGTCAGACAGGCCAAGGATAAATATTAGACCTGCTTGGTGTGCCCAGTTTCTTCATGTGCACAATCAGCTGACAACCCCCTGGGGCTGCTGGGAGGACAAGACAGGGCCAGATTCCCAGGGGCTGTACTCCGCCACTGGGCGCTGCCGTGACTGTAGATTACAGAATGGTGGTACAAGGAGAGATTCATGAAGACTGCATTATAGTATATAATGATATCATATAATAATGAAAATCACAATCACTACACATCCGAGGGCCTGGGGAGGAGGCTGACCATGTGGTGGCAGAGGGTGGGGGTAGCAAAGATGGAGCGTGGGGCATGCATGGGGCTCACCCGCAGGGCAGGCTGGAGGGTGTGCCCAGCCCAGAGCACCGGGAGTCCTCCTGTGTCACACTGAGTGGGGCACAAGGGTCCCCAACTAGGACAACGGTGATGATCACATGCCGGCGGGTCTCCAGCTGTCCTGTGGCCACTCCGCAGGCCCCTCCAGGGCCTCTCCTTGGCCTCTTGGCCTGGGCCCTTGGCTTTGAGAATCCTTAAGGGGCCTCTGCTGTGAGCAGCGGCTGGGCTGCTTCCGGATTGGCTTCCGGGGGGTTGGCTGGAGTCCTCAGACAGAACTGGTCCTCTGGGTCCCAAGGCTGCCCTGTCTGGCCAGGCTGACAAGGGGGGTGGGGGGTGGCCCTGCCTAGTGCCTGTTTGCCTTCTGCTGCCGCAGGGCCTGCAGGAAGACCCCCTTCACCTGGTCCAGGGTCTCATGGTACATGCGGAAGTCCTCCTCTTTTCCCCGCAGGGCACTGCCCAGGGCGGCCTTCAGCAGCTCGTTCTCCTCCACCTGGATGGTCAGCCTGGACCACAAAGAGATGGGGCTCAGCACAGCGCG